TTCGCTTGTTGCGCTTAAACGGTGGTTTGTTGGGGCCATCGAAGACGAAGATGGGGTGGATGGAGAGCGCGATAAGTCGTAGCAGACGGTAATAGAAAGTGCGCAAGGCAGGATTCGTGCCACCTGTACGTTGTCAGCTGTATGGCCGACAGGCGCACAGTAAGTTAATCCTTACCTTTGCTGGCCTGAATCTGAAAAAGCCATATAGAGGTATCAATAGCAATGCGCAACGGCCTGCCCGTCTCTTCGAACTTGTCTAGGGCAAGCTTGGAGAGGGCTATGCGCTTCCCAGGGCCAATCTCCTTGTAGATTCTAGGGGAGTTAGTAACACATTAGACACAATGACATGAATCAATCGACTTGCCCATGGATACCCATTGCGCTGCCATGCTCTTACTAAACGCTGCCCCGACTGCCTTGGCCGTGCGAAGTTGGCGGTGCTGCGCGTGCAGGGTGGCGATTAGATTGTTGTCATGGCGACCACACGCAACGTCGTCCCCCGACTCTCACGCTTGCATGCGCCCTCCCCCACCTTTACCCGCAACTACCAACAATTTACGCATTCCTACAACCTCGATCCAACATGGCGTCTCGCGGCCGAACAGCGACGGCGAACAGCGACGGCGACCGCAATTACGACTCGAGCCCAGATCCGTTGGCCATGTCAATGGGCGAAAACACAACACAAGCCATAAGACGAAAGGCAGCAGGTCGAATGCCACTCACAACAAACTCACCGAGCAAGCAGAATCGAACACTGGACATCTCCGAGTTGGACTTTGACTCACCAGCCAAGTCGATGATTCTCAACACACCACGCGCAGGCGGCGCAAGTCCTTGGCGCATCAAGGTCACAGTCCAGGCTGAACCGGGAAGCGACGAGGAAAACACAATGTCACCATCCATCAAGCGAGTCACACGAACAAAGACCACTACTGTCCCCCTCAAGGATCCGGATGCGCAATCTCCTGTCAAACGACCTCGTGGACGACCTCGGAAGTCTGATGGCGGAGTCGCTGCTAAGCCTAGGCGCAACGGAACACCAGTGAAGAAAGCACCACGTTCAAAGTCACGAGATGCGAGTTTGGACGTTGCAGGATCAAGCGCAGCAGATGTAGACACCGATGTCCCGCCCAAGAAGCGAAGAGGTCGCCCAAGGAAAAGCATTCAGCCACCACCCGAGGATGATGAAACCCTCGTGATCCAGGAAACTATTCCAAACGACGACATGTTCGCAGATCTGACGCCAGTACCTGCAGCAGCATCACAGGCGACGAGCTCGAAGAAGAGTGCTCGCTTTGCGACTCCGCAGATACTCACCACTCGAGATGAAAACGCAGACCTTACACAACAAGAAGAGATGCCATTGGACGCCACGCCACGGAACAGCTTAGGTGGGAAACTCCGCACACGCAAAGGAACACCACATGCCAAGAAATCAGCCCTCATGTCAGGACCGGCCGATGATGGTTCCGATGAAGGCAGCGATGTGCTCACTCCAAGTAGTGAAGACGATGAGTCTGAGCTACAAACGTACGGCCATGATGAACAGACGACCGGGAATCAGCTCGCTGAGATAGAGAATCGTCAAGCGTTTGAAGAAGAGGAGGAAACGCACAACATCGACAACTATGCGCTTGACGAGGGTACTACCAGGATGCCAGATGATACGACAGTTTTGGATAGTGAAAACTTCAGCATGATTTCTGTGGACTCACTACCAAGTAACGGAGGCTTCAGTAGTCCACCAAAGCCCGAAGAGTCCCAAGGTCCTGCAAACCGAAGTATTGGATCTGTTCTTAGTGTGATACCAGAGTCATCGTCTGAGACTCCTCCGAGAATCGTTGTACAGCTCAGCTCTCTGCACAGCTCTACTACATCACAATCCGCGGACAGACTACGTTCGACGGCATCCCCGCGTTACACCACTCCTGTCATCGAAGAAGTTGAACATCCGTCTGAGCCGCCAGCCATACAGCCGGCTCCGCCTACGGTTCCGAAAGTCGAGACTCCCCAGATTGGTCGTGTGGTGACTGCCGGGGTGGCTCTTCAAGGGCTCGTGGATAACAATCGAGCTACACCAGACCCCTCACAAAAAGCGATGGACGTGAATCGGGACCAATTGGATGACCTCTTTCGAGGCTTCAGTGAAGGAACGCGGAAGGAACTACAGGCAGGATTACGACTTGGTGAACAGCTGGCAGATGGTCAAGTGAACTTTCCATCGCCTGCGGCTTCGAGTCCAACTAAGCCACCACATCATGCAGAATCTAGAGAAGGTGTCTTCCGGACCCAACGTAAACAGCGTTCGCGTCTTTTAACGCCGGACGAGCAAGAAGACAATGTTTTGGCAGCCGTGGAACCACCTACAGTGGAAGAGGAGATACAGTACCCTTCCTTGGACGGGGAGGAGGCGGCGAACTCGCTCATCAGTCCTGCAAGCAGTGACAACGAGATGAGCTGGCGTGTAGATACCCCACCTGCGAGTATGACCAGTACTGCTGCAAGCAGTAGTCTCAAGCAGAGCCCCGAGGTTCAGAAGTCGAAAGAAGTGGCCTCGCAGACTCAACAAGACAACTATGCCGACATCTGGCAAGAAGAAGCTAGCCGCTCGTCTAACTCACTTGGTGAGGACGCTCAGTCCGGCGAAGAGCCTTCTAATGATATAGATGTCTTTACAGATATTGCTGCAACTGTCTCAGCTCACGGCAAGCAAACAAGAACACGGCGACACAAGATTACAAGTTCCTCTCAGCACAGCATCGGAGCAAAGGCTACTAGACAGCTCACGCCACCTTCAGCAGATTCAACGGAGTATAACAAGGATGGAGCGGGTGTGGGTATAGTGCAAGCTCCGACAGCGGAGAACAAACAAACGTTAGAGGACGAAGAAACAAGCGATGCGAACGAGGCAAGCGATGCCAACGAAGACAGCGATGACACTGGGATGTTTTTCCAGGCGAATATGCCCAATGTTTTTCGAAAAACGCGAACCTACGAGCGGAGGCAACGAACATCAGACAAAATAAGCCTCTCTTCGTTGCTGGATCAAGGCGAAAGTTTGCTTCCTGAATCATCACCACCTGTGCAGGCAAAGAAGCCATCGTCAGCCACAGAAACGAACCCATTTTTGGGTACACCACCCCGCTTTCCAGGGTTTCCATGTTCGCCGTCTAAGAGTAGTCCATTGCGTCGAGAGATCCGCGGCTCCGATATTTCGTCTGACTCTATCCAGCGATATCAAGAGGAATCGTCGCTCCCTGTGATTCAGAGTTCTCCATTCCGAACAATTATAGATGGCGATAGCATGCTTTCTACAGCGTCGGATCAGCTTCAATTTCGTGCGGAGATGGAGGGCGCGACTGCATCTAGCATTCTACGTGTTCGTGAGGAGGCTAACGAGTACCTTGATGCTTATGAGCCCCAGGAACGAAGCTTGAATGAGATCACAGAGGTGACGGAGCCAAGCAGGACATGGGTCAGAGAGCTGACTGCTCCTGCATCAAGTTCATCGCAGCGGATGCAAAAATCGATGCACTCTCCTGCCTACAAGCCTGGGTCGCGCTTCAGTAACCACACTGCCAAAGATCCTAGTTTGACGCCGGAGATTACAAGGGGGCATATCGAAGTGGAGGACGACGCATCAACTGAAAGCTCAGGACATGAGGACACAGAAGCCAGTTCCAGCCTTGAGAATAACGAAACCACCAACATAATCGCCAAGTCCCTACAGCAACAGACAGCGCTTCCTTCCACCCGTATGGACTTTAACCTCTTCGAAACTCTGAGTCGCCCTGCACCTCCGGCCGCCCATCCCATTCTCGCCCGTTACGCTGCATTGCCCAAGATAGAACCCTGGACGAAAACGCACTACAAAACACTCGACAAACTCTACGCCACTCACCTCAGACACCCCGCTCTCTTCCTACCCTCTCTCAACCCACCTACTCCACTCTCGCACACCAACGATCACCTCGCACAGGGCTTTCTATCCACAAACAAGTACCCATATGTCGGTGCGATCTTTTCAGCATGGGGCTATAGCATGGTAATGACGGAGTCACTTGTGGTGCTTTGTGCGGTGTTTATGGAACTTCTGAGTCTAGAGGATATCAAGCAGTACGAGGCGCGGAGCGGAAGTGGAATCGAACTTGGTAACTGTGCGCCTGGTAGAACCGGGGATCTTATCAAGGGCGAAGAGGTGGTGAGGAGGTTGGCGACTATAGTGTTGGGAGAAGATGTAAGGAGCGATGAGAAGAAGGGGTTGAGGATTGATCGGAGCAAGACTTTGACGATTGAGTGGCCACAGTGAGTGTGTGGCGTGCATTTGCTTTGGCGGCAGACTGCCATATTTTGGCTCATGATGTAATGATGGATTATGTATCTTGCAAGGAGTTTGGGCGTTTGGTAGTACGATACCTTTTGATGAAAATCAAATTGAGGATTTCAGTCTGCATAGTGCTTACGGATATTGTGCCTGCTCTCATATACTCGGTCACGCTGTTTTTTCCTTACTGTGTCTCCCATCTACGACGACGGTATACGTCAAGCCAATGCATCTAAAAGCTGGTCGTTCACCCACTGATCTAATGTCCAATTTCGACACTCAGGTAACTTAAACTGCCGGCAATCCGTCACAGAAGCGTGCTCGCAAATTTCCTAATATGAGTGATTATATCCTACCCTCTTTATTATTGGAACTGTGCAAATGGATTACTAGTCATGCAAAAATAGAGTGTGATTTCAAAGTTCTTGACTGCTACGTGCCACAGGAAGATTTCTAGATAGGTGAAGAGCTTCTGCTATGTGGATGTGTATAGTATTCTAGTGTGTACCTATGTAGCAGTGTCTATGTATGTACTCCCAGCAGGTGATAAACGACTACTAGTCGATTAAGAGCATCTCCTACTACATCGCTCTCCCCTACTCACGCAGCTGCAATTTCTGGTTGATGGTCTAAGAAACAAACCGCTGCAAAAAAAGAGCAAAAAAGTAAACAGGGGCCTAACTGGGAATTGAACCCAGGACCTGCCGCAATTAAGAATTGTCTTCCCAAAGCGGCAATCATACGACTAGACCATTAGGCCGTGTTATTGCTGATGGATAAAACGCAATTTAGATAAAATATATTCTAACAGCATCAAAGGAACGAGAGATGAAGTGTGGTTGTGTGGAGATGACGGGAGAAGCGAATATGCATTGTCATCGAGATTTGCGTTCAGTGGGTAAGCGAGAGAGCGCGGCTTATTAGACGAAACACCGTTCTGGAATCGGCTTCATCGCAGCTGCGATTGGCTTACGCGGGCGACCTGCACCCTGTTGACCTGCCTGCGAAAGGCGTGAAGATGTCTAGAGTTTCTATAGCAGAGTATTACAGGACACATGTTAGTACAAGTCTTAATATCTGATGCGCGAGGTAGAGGCGAGAGCAATGGATTTACGTAAGAGAGATGTTTAGAGTGTGATGCGAGCATGGTGTCGTGTTAACCGTCCCTTCCTTCTGTGCAACAAACACGCTTGTAAGCATTATGGATCACTTGTTAAGTTCCGACTAGAATCCCTCGTTGTGAACCTTGCACAAATCATGGCAGCACGAAGCACACGCAAGAATATCTCAAAGATGATGCACGTCTAATTACGGCGAATCATAGTATATGATTATAAACTTTGCTTCTACGCTCCTACAAGCCTGACCCGCTCGCTCTCCAACGGCGACTACAGCGTGTCCAAGATGACAAGTCCAATGCTCTAAGTTGCTAGCTTGGTCGCGGGCTTGTCCCACGCTTTTTGGTAGTGATACAAAACAAAGGAAAGCCTGCTAGGGTGTCTGGCCATCGCCTCGTCTCACCTCGCCAGATGCAACTCTTCACTTCATCCTGCCTTTTTCGCGCTTTTCCTTCATATACTGCCACGATCTTATCGGGCCTGCAGAGAGCAAACCTTTCAGACTTTGTACCGTGGAAGGCCACTTGACAGTTTGGTTGATCGCTTTTGTCACAACGTCTGGGAGGTCCTTCTCCCCAGCTATCCGCTTGTCAAACTCTCCAGCGACCTGCTTCTTCAAGATACCTGATGCGGCTTCATCCTGGCTTGCGTCTAGCATCTCCTGATACTCGCGCCCAGAGATGCCGAACTTCCCTCGGTATTGGAAGTATATTTTTTCGCGGAACTTCTTCGGCAGCCGCCGGACCATGTTGGCGAGTCGATCGGGGTCCACGTCTTGCGACAACTTGAGGTCGATGTCAGTGTTGTCCACCCAGTTGGGTTCCGCAATTGCCTGGTCATCCGCGTATCGGACGTTGGGGAGGGACATCAGCAGATCGTGGTATAAAAGCCTGAAGTTGCGCAATTGATGTGTGACGATGTTGCTAATCTTCTTCGGATTCTCGCCGCCGTACGACATGCGCGGGTCGCCTTGATAGCTCAGGCCTGTGATTGTAGAGTAAAGCTCCTTCTCGGTGAAGCTTTCTGGTAGGAGGAGAAGCGAGCATCGGACGGCGGAAAGGAGGTTGCGCTGGTTTGCGACGCGAACGTTTGGTTCTTCGATTAGGATCTTGCAGGGCTTGTGCAGTCGTCCAGCAAAGTACAACGTGTCCCACTCGGTGAGGTCGCGCAGAAGAGTCTGGAAGTTCACGACTGCGTACTTGATCATTGTGCCGTTCACTATAACATATGGGTTGAAATAGGCGCCCGCGCCATATTTGTCTTGCACATGGCTTATCACCCCTGACCCAAGTGACCCAAGGAAGGAGTAGTGGTCTCGGTGTTCGCGCAGGTTGAGCGAATGGAAGTGCTGAGAGAACCTTGGTGTCAAGATGAAGTCAATCATCTTTCCACCGCCCTTCTGCCAATTCAATATCGCCTCGGGCGGGTTCGGATGCGGTGATTGCGTCGTCCGCGAAGCCGTTGCGGCTGACTGAGGAAAGACGCCAGAGCCGTAGGCAAACGCGTAGGTGATGGGCGGAAACTTGCGCAATATGCCCCTCAGTGACCGCTTGAACTCCTCGTTCGTTTCTATCAATTGATTCTTCCCAAAGTCCTTGTGCGGAAGTTGCGTGAAGTCTGTCAGCGAGGGAGCTTCATCTTCCCACTCGGGCGGCAGCGTCTGGTAGGCGTGCGCTGCATCTTTAGGCTGAGTTTGTTGCGATGATATACAGCGGCGGATCAATTGCAGCTGCGGCCTCCTACACGACGCTATCCGAGTCGTTAACCTGTGTCGATACATTTTGTGTAGACATCGGTGCATCGGTGTTCGCGAAGTGAGCGAACGGGTGACGTAAGCGGTTGCTACCGTGGCCAGGTCTTGGCAGATCCGTTGTTTGTGTCGTCCCTCCCTCGACCTGGGTTGCACCTGCAATTCTTCATCATACACCCAGAACCACCAGCAACCAACAACTTTCTGCTCTGCTTCCAAAGCGCGCCCCCAAGGCTACAGTTGCTCTTTCTGATTCCAAATCCACTTTCCAAAACCCTGTACGACATCAGACGCTCCCGCAATGGACGCGTCTCTTGCCTCACACCAGGCGCGTCTGGCGACATTCGCAGCAACCACGACCAGCAAGGCGCGACGCACCTCAAATCGATCAAAGAAGGCAGCGCCCAAGTCAAAATTAGCATGGCCGCACGCTTCGCCCAGTCCACAGGATCTCGCCTTTGCGGGTTTCGTCTGGAAACCCACCACAACCAGCCCCGACAACGTCCAGTGCTTCAGCTGCGCCTGCCAGCTCGACGGATGGGAAGAGGAAGATGTCCCCGCCTTTGAGCATCTAACACATTCACCAAACTGCGGCTTCGCCATAGTCACATGCATTCGACTTCGCAATGGCGATCCAGGCAGGACCGAAGACGACCCCTCCAGTGATGCGATGGTCACAGCGCGACGCGACACCTTTCGCGACTTCTGGCCACTTGAGCACGAGCCAGGCTACCCCAACGCCGACCAGATGGCAGCCGCAGGCTGGATGTTCGACCCCGCCGAAGATACTCCTGACGGTGTTACCTGTCCATACTGCTCTCTTGCTCTTGACGCGTGGGATGCCGGCGACGATCCACATGAAGAGCACCGCCGTCGCTCCCAGGATTGCTTGTTCTTCACTCTTACTGAGCTCTACCACCCACCGACCAAACCCGCGCCAACAAAGAAAGGCAAAGGCGTTGCAAAGGGCAAGCGCGCCTCGACTCGCACCTCTACATCATCTACATCATCTGCAGCGAGCACAACCAATACCCGTGGCAAGAAGCGCGCCAGTGAAACAATCGAGGCATCATCTTTCTCCGAAATCGATCTCCCCACACAGAAGCGAGGAAAGACTCGCGCCAACGACGGCGACGTAGTCGAAGCATCCACATCCTCCGAGGTTGTTCTCCCAGCACAGAAGAAAGGCAAAGGAAAGGCGCGTGCCAGCAAGGCGACTGAGGCCTCCACATTCTCCGGAATCATCCCGACTACACAGACGCGTAGGACCCGTGCCAGCAATGCAACTTCATCATCCACTTTCCCCGAAATCCTGCCCACAACAAAGAAGCGAGGCAGAGCGCCCGCCAGCAAAGCCACCGAAGCTTCAACCATAGCCTCCACCTTCTCCGAGAGTGTCCCAACCACGACGAAGCGGGGCAAAGCACCAGTCGCCAGATCAAACGAAGCCAGCAAAATCACTGAAGCTTCAACCTTCTCTGAGATCGTTCCAACCGCACTAAAGCGGGGCCAAGTACCTGCTGCCAAATCAAACGAAGCCAGCAAAGTCACTGAAGCCTCGACTTTCTCTGAGATCGCTCCCACCGCACTGAAGCGAGGCAAGGCCAAAGCAACCGAAGCTAGCAAATTCACCGAAGCTTCCACCTTCTCCGAAGTCATTCCACCTACACAGCAGCGATACAAGACTCGTTTTAGCAACGCGAGCTCAGCATCTGCATCCTCCGAGATCCTCCCACCCACAAAGAAGCGAGGCAAGACACGCGCTAGCAACGCAACATCTGTCTCGAACATGTCCGAAATCATCCACCCCAAACAGAACAAGGGCAAGAAGCGTGCCAGTGAGGCAGTCGAAGTGGACAGTTTCTCCGAGGCAGACCGTCCTTCCAAGCGATTCAGATCCTCAAGCTTCTCCAGCCTCCCAGATGACTTGCCTGTCGGTACTCCTAAGAAGACACCTACACACTTGAAGGAAACAGGGACCTTTGAGATGTCAAGCTTTCCCTCGGGCCTTCCAGTTGGTACACCTAAGAAGACACCTTCCCACTTGGCCGAGAACAGGACCTTTGAGATGTCTGAATTTCCCTCAGACTTGGATGTTGGTACGCCTAAGAAGACGCCTACACACTTGAAAGAGACTGGAACATTTGAGATGTCAAGCTTCCCCATGGACTTGGATGTCGGTACTCCTAAGAAGACACCCATAAACCTTGCCGAGTCCTGGGAGCCCACTGACATGGACGGCTTCTTCGCTGGCTCGAGCGGCGCACACGCTTTCATGAACGACGTCATTATCGATGCTGGTCTCGACGACATTGTTGCCGGCTCTAATGAACTTCAGTCCGCTGTCTTGGCCGGCCTGACTGAGGAGGAGAAGGACATGACCATTGAGCAATGGGTCTTATACAACGCCAAGCGCGGAGAAGAGAAGCTCCGCCGGGCGTGCGAAATGCAAATTGCGGCCTTTGAGGCAGAGGGTCGCCGTGCCTTGGCAGCCCTCGAGGCCCTCGAGACCGTCTAGAACGTTACGACTATGATGCCAGGAGAATTTTGGAGTTTTTTGGGGGCGTTCGGTCGTTTTATGATACCCCTGGGAGGACATTACGGTGTTTGATTGTTTTGTTTTTTGTTGTTTCTTGAGGAGTTTTGTTGGACACAACGACCCTGACTCCATCGCGGCTTGAGGTGACCCCTTGGTTGTAGCCGCCTGAAAGGGCTGGCTCCCTCGGGTGATCCAATATTAGCCAGGTGGAGGTGGGATGGTGTGTAGTAGTCTAGAAGAATTTTGAATTTTGGACATTATGTTTGCTGATGCTGTGATCAATGCTTTGGTGTGATGTGGAAAGTGTCTTTGTAGTGTGGAAGTGTGCAACGTGCTCTTGGGTAGGAAGGTAT